CTCACTTCTCATTAAAACAAAAAAGGAATCCAGTGAAGAAACGGTCATGTGTGGGATTCCACAAAACTGAGCAATGGGCACATCAGTGTTCACAATGTTATTCTCTCTACTTTTCTGCGTGTCTGTAATATTTCCAACTTAAAAGAAAGGAGAGATATGATGAAAAATGTAACTTTCTATCTACCAGCAACAGACGATTTGGATGTAATTTTTAAAAATCATATCATCTCAGATATCTAAAAAAAATATATTATTTTTAAAATCTAGGAATGTATTCAAGCTATAGCATTTCTCTGCTTTGGGGCAGGGAGAGATTTCATGGGGGTTAATGTTTTTCATGGGGCTCAGTGATGAGCCATCGTGGGCACACTGGAGGTCTCTCTCTCTCTCTTTTTTTCCCCCAGATTTTATCTATTTATTTTACAGGCAGAGAGAGATCCCAAGTAGACAGAGAGGCAGGCAGAGAGAGAGAGAGGTGGAAGCAAGCTCCTTGCTGAGCAGGGAGCCCGATGCGGGGCTCTATACCAGGACCCCCTGGGATCATGACCTGAGCCGAAAGCAGAGGCCTAACCCACTGAGCCACCCAGGTACCCCTGGAGGTCTCTCTTGAAGTGTCCAACACACTCTGTCATGTGTTAAGGACTCTAGGGAGTGCTCAGTAATGACATGTGCAAAACTTCCTTTAATCAAACATCTAACTTTTTTCAAACATCAAACAACAGGATCTGTCTTGCCTGAGCGGCCTTGGGAAAGTCTGACCCAGAGACCTCCACGGGCTGCCACATTGGAGCCCTGTGTTAGGATGATGTTTCCACTTAATTTTATTCTTCCTTTCTCTATTAACTTTTTCATTATTTATCTTAAGCAGATTCGTGGTAGGAGAATTATGAAAATGTACCAAGGCAAAATAAAAACTGATTAAAATGATCCCACATGGCCCCTATGGGCCCCTTTTCAAAAGGTATGATGGTAGCCTAGCATTTATGGAGCACTTACCTGCAAACACACTGTGCTAGAATAGGTATGTCCTTATCCTCATTTTACAGAGAGGGAGACTGAGGGTCAGAGAGGTACTGTCACCTACCCAAGGCATCTGGCTTGCATAGCCCTAACCCAAGTCTTCCCAACTTTGCAGCACAAGTTCTCAGCCACTATCAGACAAGGCCTCCCCATTGGAAGGGGAGGGGTGGTCTTCAAACCTGCCAAGATTCCTTTTCCCCACTTGCTCCCTGAGTCCTTCAGGATTCTCTCATCCTCCCAGGGGAGCTGTGGACATTATCTCTTCCAAAAACAAAGTCTGCGCCTTTGCCATAGAAGGACCTGAGTCCCTCCCCCAAACCCTGTCCACCTTATCTCTGTGAAAACCATGACTTGCCCTGGAGAAGGGGGAAAAATTAAGCCTCTCCCCACCCCAGCTCCACCCCCAAAATCACTGGATTTGGGGTAAATTGGGCAGGCTGGAGACAGAAGAATGGCTGAGTAATTAAGTTTCAAATTGACTATTGTGTTATGCGAATGTCTGATAAAGGAAACACAATGGCTGCCAGATGGGGGCTGGGAGGTGAGATTTCCCCAGTGGAGAATTCTAGAAGACGGGACCGGTGTTCTGGAGTCTGGGTCCTCCAGACAGACAAGCAGGCAGCAAGGGTGGGGACGCCAGAGATAATTATAGGGAGGAGAGAAGAGCCAGTCAGGGACACCAGTCCAGGAGGTTTGGCTAGGACTGGTCTCTTCAGCGTGGGACACAGAGGCGATGAGTAAATGGTGAACAGTGAACTCAGTCACTGCCGTAGGTCCAAGGGACCAGAGCAACATTATTCAGCAGGAGTACAATGGGAACCCCATGTAATTTTAAATGTTTCAACCGTCACATTAAGCAAATGATAAATCTATGAAATACGAGATTGTTCTCACAAATAATGAGCTCCCTAGGTCTTAGCAATCTGGGGTCCCAAATTCAATTGCCCTCGACGGTATATGGAATAGATGGTACACGAGCCAGTCTCACACTTTCCTGTAAGAAAAACAGGGCCGCAAACAATGGTTTCTGTTCATCAGCGTGACTTCAGTGCAGGGACATTGAGAAATGGTGGGAACGACAGCAAATTAGAGAAAGTACATCCAGGCTAAATTGCTCCAGTCAACTCTTGCCTCATGGCAATTGGGAACCAAGTGCTGCTAGAGCTTCCCCTTTTTTTTTTTTTTTTTAAAGGAGGAGGAAGTTGGGATTTTTAAAGGTTGGCATTCAAGTCAAATCATATAAAAAAAAAAACTGAGTGGGCTGGATCTCAGACTCTGATCTGCATTCAATCCTTGACCATGTTTTACAGAGAGGGAAACTTGGTTCAGGGCAGTTAAATATTTTCCCAACTCATAGCAAAGACAAAGAACTGGCTCTTCTGGTCATTTCGACTACTTCTCCTAATAACCAGCATTGGTTTTTTTTTTTTTTTTCTTTCACTATTCTTATTGAGAATTTACCAGGTGTAGGGTTCTATGCTGAACATTTGCTATCATGAAGGATACTGTTTATGATGTCAGATTTAGAGAGGGGAAACCAAGGCTCAGAAAGGTGGAGTAAATTGCCTAAGGTCACACTGTGGGGCTTGAACTTGGGTCTCTGATCAGAAGAGTCTAGAAGCCCCGCTCTGGGTATACTTTTTCCACTGCCCAGCCCTGAAGAAACTCAGAGACCAAGGATCCAAGTGGTTTTCACCCTGCGGCTCCTCCAAAGGGGTTGTAGGCAGCTTCCTACACCTCCACACTTGCTTTCTCTCTCTCTCTCTCTTTTTTTTTTTTTTTTTTTTTAAGATTTTACTTTTTTATTCATGAAAGACAGAGGGGCTGAGGCAGAGGGAGAAGCAGGCTCTCCAAGGAGCAGGGAACCTGACACAGGTCTCGATCCCATGACCCCAGGACCATCACCTGAGCTGAAGGCAGATGCTTAACCAACTGAACCACCCAGGCCTCCCCCCCACCACGCTTACCCCCCCAACTCTTGCTTTAAACTGAGGGTCTCCACTGTGTCATTCCTATGAATTGGCTTCCGGGTAAGATTTTTGTTTGGAGAGGCTGCGGCTGCCTCCCCCCCCCCCACTTGTTTAAATTTGAAACCACTGACCTGCCACAGTCCCTCGATTTACAGTGGGGGAAAACTGAGACCCAGAGGTAGTAAGCGACTTTGGTCCCTGTGCAAGTCTGGACCAGAGCCAGGACCCAGAACTGGATCCTGGAGGCCCAGCCTGGAGGTCAGGCCCCACCTGGGAAGCCGCCTGCTGGGTGTACCAGGGCCTCCCTCCAGCGCCCCTGGCTCTGCCCCAGGAAGGGCCAACTGTTCCCTCTGTGTCTCACCACAGGCTCCGCCCTTCCTCATGCCTGTTTGGATAACTTTTCGACCTGTTCCTGCACCAGCCCTCCCCGAGGTGTGGCTGCCTCGGCTGCTCGGCCCAGGGAATCCTGGGGCCTTGGCAATGGAGCGGCCCAGGCTTGGCTGGTCCCACAGCAGACAGTTGTCAAACAGGGGCCGTCTGGGCGGAGGGAGGCCTGTTTACAAAGGGCAGAGCCCAGGCAGGGGTTCCGTTTTCTCCCCACACCACTGGCCCATCCAGCCCCCCAGCATACTATTCAGCGGTCCCTGGCTGTACTGGCTCATTCCATGGGTTTCTATGAAGCACCTACTGTGTGCCAGGCACTGTTCTACATGCTGCAGACTTAGCAGGCAACAAGAGACCAGATTCCCTCGATGACGGAACTTCCACTGCAGTGGAGGAGACAGACGAACACACGACTCCAGAGCTGTAGAAGATAAGAGGACTGAGAGTGATGGGCAGAGGTGGGGCAGTCTCAGATTTGTGTGGTCAAGGAAGGCCCCTCTAAGTGGGAAACTTTCAAGCTAAGACCCAAACTATGAGAAGAAATCCATTATGGGAAGATATGGGGAAAAGGTGTTCCAGGCAGAGGGAATAATGAGTACGAAGGCCCTGGGGCAGGAATATGCTTGGAGAGATCAAAAGATAGTTAAAAAGCAAGTAAGGCTGAACTAGAGTGTGCAAAAGGGACAAAGACAGGAGAGGCTAGAGGGGCAGACAAGAGTCGGATTGTGTGGGACCTTTCCGTTAGGGAAAAGAACTTGGGCAACACAAAGGTGCCAAAAGGTGTTCCGCAGGGATTTTCAACAGGAACGTGTTCGGAATTTCTCCTGTAACTTGAATTTTGCATTTAATCCTAACCTGGGGCTTTCTGTTCTAGGACTCTTGTTTTCATGTTTGAAATAGGGCTTAATTATTCTCTTCTTTTTTTTTTTTTAAATATTTTATTTATTTATTTGACAGACAGAGATCACAAGTAGGCAGAGAAGCAGGCAGAGAGCAAGGAGGAAGCAGGTTCCCCACTGAGCAGGGAGCCCAGTGCAGGGCTCCATCCCAGGACCCTAGGATCATGACCTGAGCCAAAGGCAGAGGGTTTAACCCACTGAGCCACCCAGGCGCCCCTCTCTTCTCCTTTTTAATTTAAATTTTCTTTTCAAAAATTTAGTCAAGGCTTTATAGGTGCTCAGCTGAAAGAAAACAAGTACTTTTACAAAGCTGGAAACCAGTCATAGCAGCTGTCCCCCTTCTCTTCCTGAATCTGATTCCTACCATCCATAGGTCACCACCTGAAACTGTTCTAGCTAGTTTTCCTCTATTTTTCTACATATCATGATTATACCACTACTTGATTTTTCAGTCTTAGATGTAAAGTGTTGACTTGCTAAGAGGAAAGATCCTTTATAACTATTTCCCAATCTGGAGATAAGTCAGTATTCACTGTTTTCATATACGTAACCACATTGCTGTCATTACTATTCTCTGCAGCTGGTGTCATCTGTATCTGAACGATGAGCTTTCCCTGCATCGTCTCAGTTGACCTTCACAATAACACTAGAAGGCATGTGTGGGTCAGCATAACAACAATACTAAGACTTTACATCTCACAACATCGGCTGCACCTGCTGAGTCCACAGAAATGGCATTATTCACCCATTTTTCAGAACACATGGAGCTCAAAAGGACAAAGACAGTTCTACCTATCACCATGGAGTGCAGTGGTTAAAATAAAACTCATCTTCCAGCCAAGATGGAAGGAGCTGGGGTCCCTGGGTGAGGGAGATAAACTCTTTTTTTTTTTTAAATTTTATTCATTTATTTGACAGAGAGAGAGAGATCACAAGTAGGCAGAGAGGCAGGCAGGGAGAGAGGGGGAAGCAGGCCCCCTGCTGAGCAGAGAGCCCGATACGGGACTCGATCCAGGACTCCGAGATCATAACCTGAGCTGAAGGCAGAGGCCCTACCCACTGAGCCACCCAGGTGCCCCAGGAGATAAACTCTTGATCTCACATACTGGGTTGGTGTGTTTTGCCAGCTAGCACTGCCATGGCTAATACAATGCCTGGGTTTGAATCCCAGCTCTGACTCTTGCAGTCTGTGTGGTTTGGAATAAGTTACATCTCTGAGCCCTCATTACCCCTTCTGAGAAATGGGTACCATGGCAGTACCTACCTCAATGGGCAGTTGTAGGAATTAAAGGAAGTAATCGTTACAAATGATTTAGAACAGTGCCTGACCCCTAGTGATACTACAGAAGTGACAAAATAAATCAGGAGGGACGTCTGGGGTGGCTCAGTTGGTTAAGCTTCTGCCTTTGGCTCAGGGCATGATCCCAGGGTCCGGGGATAGAGCCCCGCATCAAGCTCCCTCCTCAATGGGGAGCCTGCTTCTCCCTCTGTCTGCCACTCCCCCTCCTTGTGCTCGCTTGCTCTCATTCTCTGGCAAATAAATAAATAAAATCTTAAAAAAAAAAAAAAGGACTAGAAGATGAATGAACCAAGACCCAGATCTGAGTCACGTGATGCCAAGTTCAGTATCTGACCCCAAAGTCCTAGACAACTGTATTCCTTTTTACAATTTTTACCAAATCTGCCTGTTACCTATACTTTACCAGTAATTATTTACTTGATATTTTTTCTCTTTTGAAAACATGTATTAATTTTAAAAGTATATTTTATATTAGTGCTTTAGTATGCTATTTATAAAATTTTCTAACACACAGTAATATAAAGTCAGTAAGATTCAAACATGTTTGTCCATATACTCCTAAAATCAGCCCTACCCTGTGGATACACCTAAGGAAAAGTCTATAAAGAACCTTCTGGAACATTCTGTCCAGTGGCTTTGAAACCATTTTGACCATGACCCTATAAAACAGCGACTCTTTGAAGCCTGCCTGCGTGATCTGGAACCTTGGCATTTCCTCTTAATGCCTGTATCACTTTCACCAAGTGACTCAACCTCTCTCTGCCTCCATTCCCTCGTCTGTAAAACGGGAATGATAGTAATAGTACCTACATCACAGGGCCATTGTGAAGATAAGGAATTAGTACGTATGAAGCTCCAAGAAGTACTTTATCGAATCTCGCTATGATCACAACCCCACGCACACATCCATAAATATGTATAAATGAAATGAAAGTTTCACACATGTGAAATTTACTCGTCAGAGGAGATGGACTTCTATTTTACTTCATTTTTAAGGATGTGGTCATCTTTGTGAAATTTCACTTCTCTGTCTCTGATTTATAATTCATGTTCTTGTCTGTATGAACATCATACTTCAATGAAAATGTTCTTTTAAACGGTAAGTTTTTCTTAAAGACTTAATTTATTTTGAGAGAGTGAGTGAGTGCGCAAGCGGGGGAGGCGCAGAGGCAGTGGGAGAGAATCTCAAGCAGACTCCTCTAAGCGTGGAGCCCGAGGCAGGACTTAATGTCATGACCCTGAGATCGTGACCTGAGTGGAAATCAAGAGTCCACCAAAGGAGCCACCCAGGCGCCCCAAATAGCACATTTTTATTCAAAGAAAAGGTGAAGAATGATAATGAAAGAAACCAGCTGATTCTATGAACAGCCAATGTGCTGAAATTATTTTGTCTAGCTAGCATAGTGAGGGGACATTAACAGACTCAGGGTCCCTAACAGCTGGCACATGCGGATCTACATTTCTTTTCTTTTCTTTAAAGATTTTACTTATTTATTTGACAGACAGATCACAAGTAGGCAGAGAGGCAGGTAGAGAGAGAGGACGAAGCAGGGTCCCCGCCAAGCAGAAAGCCCAATGTGGGGCTCGATCCCAGGACTCCAGGATTATGACCTGAGCCAAAGGCAGAGGCTTTAACCCACTGAGCCACCCAGGCACCCCCTGATCTACATTTCTAATAAAAACTGTATGCATTAAATTCTAGGAAGAATGTATCTGCCTAAAATAAAAAAAAATATGTGCTTCAGAGGCTTTTAAAAAATCATATATTGGGGCATCTGGGTAGCTGAGTTGGTTAAGTGTCTGCCTTCAGCTTTGGTCATGATCCTGGTGTCCTGGGATCAAATCCTGCGTGGGGCTCCCTGCTCAGCAGAGTCTGCTTCTCCCTTTCCCTCTGCCCCTCCTCCCCGCTCATGCTCGCACTATCTCACTCTCTCTCTCTCTCTCTCTCTCTCGCTCTGTACTCTCTCAAATAAATAAATAAAAGAGAAATCTTTTTTAAAAATCATATACTGGGGACGCCTGGGTGGCTCAGTCTGCTGAGCAAGTTGAGCGCCCGCCTTCGGCTCAGGTCATGATCCCAACCCCAGCGTGGTAGGATTGAGTCCCACATGGGGCTCCTTGCTCAGCGGGGGGCCCTGCTTCTCTCTCTGCCTGCTTGTCCTCACGCTCCCTCTCTCTCTTTCTCTCTCTCTCATAAATAAATAAATACAATTTTTTAAAAAATCATGTATTAAAGCAAGAGTCAGCAAACTAAAAACCTCTTGGCTAAATCTGGCCCACTGCCTATTTTTGTAAATAAGGTTTTATTGGAACACACCCCCATTCACTCATTTACATGTTGCCTATGGCCACTTTCATGCAGCCAAGGTCCTACAACAGCCACTCAGATCCTACCCCGCCTGCAAAGCCCCCAAAATTCACCATCTGGCCTTTTACAGAAAAACTTTGCTGACTCTTGCCTCCAAGTTCAAAGCCCCTAAACTTCAATTAAATCACTTCCTATTTATAGCTTGTTCTAGTCTAATCCTAAGCCTAGCAAATTTTAACAGTTATATTTCCCCCTACACTTTACTTTGGAAAAATTTCAAACCTCCTCAAGAGTGAAAGAACAATACAGAGAGCACTGACATCCCTCACCGAGATTCTCCCATCAGTAAGCAGCATTCTGTCTCATGGCCTTTATCGCTATGTACCTGTGCACTTTTCCATTGAAATATTTGACATTAAAAATTGGACACTCACATTTGCTATACGTATTTGACTGTGTTGTGTGTGTGCCTGACCCCACGCTACAGGTGGTCAGCTGTGTATCAACACATTCATGTTCCCCCTTCCACAGCTGAGAGTGGTTCCTGGAAGACAGCTGGCCTAGAGGGACCGTGCATCCCAGATTCCTCGGCAGCTGACCAATGTCATGTGACTAGTTATGACCAATGGAATATGAGCAGAAATGACAAATGTCCTTCAGAGTCAGGGCCACTTCTGGGGTCCTTGGATGACAGAGATAAATAAACTTCTAACTGCCTTTTGGGGTTTGTTTGTTACATCAGCTAGTGCTACCCTAAATCATAAACCCAATAAATTGCATGAGCCGTGAATGAGTGAAGACGACCGCTTGAAACATACTGACTGGTCCTCTGGCTTTCCAAACACCACTGAGCCATGGAGCTTTCATCAAATGTTCCATTCAACGACAGCATGCAGCTTTTCTGGTTGAACCAGAGGTTGTGAGTGGAGTGGGTAGGAGCCTGGTTCATTTGAACAACCACACTGGCCTTGAAACTGAACCCTGGGGCGTCCTTCTTGACTCCTTGGGCTCCAGTGAATGTTGCATGATGACTTCTGAATAAGGAACACACCCTCTTTTCTCAGAATATGAGGCAGAGAGCCAGCAAAGGACTTGACTGGGGTCAAAAAGAGCTGCCTGGGGCCAGAGCCTTTTCCCACATCTGTGGCCAGGGCAGCTCTGCTCACACTTTGTCCACACCTCCCATCTGCTCCCCACGAGCCCAGACTCATGAGCCAAGCCCCTGAGAACAGACCCCTCCAACAGGCTTCAGAGTGCATCTGAAGGCTGGGAACTAAACTTTGTTCTGACTCTCCACCCACAATTGCGTCCCTGGAACAACCGGTTACATAGCCCTCATTCATTTCAGTGCATCCCACAGCTGCTAAAAGATGCTTAGCATATAGTAAGCATTCAGTCCCTCTTGCAGAGGAGATGCATGCTCTACAGATATTATAAAAATCATTAAAATGTATAGCACTTTCTATGTGCCAGACACTCAATACTTTCCAGATATAAACCTCACTGGATTCTCACAACAACCCTCCAAAGTGGATACCGTCATTATCACCGCATTCAACAGATATGGAAGGTGGCAACCCCAAGCCTGACTCTGGGTCTGAGCTGCTAATCATGATAGCTCCTCTGAGGCTACTGTGGGGTAACAGGTATAGCTGAAAGAATAAATGTTTGCGGTCAGGCGGATTAGACTTTCATCACTTACTTGCTGTGTGATTCAGGAAGACTTACTTAACAACTCTGAATCTCATTTTCCCCATTTATAAAATGAGGATAATACATCCCAGCCTGATGGGTCATTGCAAGCATTAAAAGGGAAGAAAGAGGGACGCCTGGTTGGCTCAGTCGGTGGAGCGTGCGACTCTTGATCTCAGGGTCATGAGTCTGAGCCCCACACTGGGTGTAGAGATTACTTGCCTAAATAAATAAAACATTAAAAATAAAAGGGAGAAAATGTCTAAAGTAACACCAGAGTCCTGCCAGTTATGTAGGAAGCACTTCAATGGGAACAGATTCCTTTCTTCTTTCCATGCCCACCCTCATGCTAAAGGCATGTGAGTCAGAAAGAAATGGAAGGCATAGTTCATACACGTAAGCATCTCATAATCTTTTAGGAATGAGATGAATCACAGAGCAATCAGAAAAGTCCCAATATACTTTCAATAAAGGATGGAATCAATTGCAATGGAGTACAAGTAAAATCCTTGCAGGGTATGCGACAGTCAAGGACTTTGCAAAACATATTCCCTTCCCTCTCTTCTCCAGGCTGATTCCTGCTAAACCTTTGGGTTTTAGCTTAGATATTGAAGCCACTTCTCCATGGTTAAAAGATCCCTGATCCTTGCCCTCCTCCTAAGTCCCTTTGTGTCCCCACATTGCCCTATTCATCCACATCCTGTCACTCTGTCTTTGACTATGGCTGGATCATCTCGGTGCTCTCCAAGATCTGAAACCACGTTTCATTCTCCTCCATTCCCACAGTGCCTAGCAGAATGCTTGTACTCCATAAGCCCTCAGTAGAAGTTTCTTGAAAAAATGAACACAGGAACCGTGACTTAGTGATTACAGGAGCCTCCCGGGTGGAGACAGGATCCACTCTGGGCATCGACATCCTCCCTTTATAAAATGGGACAAAATAAGATGGTTTCTATACTTTGGCTCATCTGGACCCCAAATAACATAAGGAAACTAATAAAAAATTAAAGAGTCTTGAAACTTACCCCAGGAGATTCTAATTCACCAGGTCTGGGGTGGGACTCCAAAATATGTCGTTCTAAAAAGGTTTTCCATATGCAGTTAGGTTTGTGAACCAGTGAACCATAGAGGCTGAAATTGAGTTGAGGTGAACTGGGAAGAGGTAATAAAAGAGGGGAGACAAGGGAAAAGGGTGGGGGAGTCTATACTTGGGGAACGACGAGTGGGAGCCGCCATGCCTGACGTCCAACACAATCCTAGAGCTGGCCAACATCGGGCTTCCTACCCAACTTGGGCCCATCAGCCCTTCTGAAAAATGAGGCATTTTATAGTTTATGATACTTTCCTCCTTCAGTAGCTCACAGAATCCTCACAACAACCAAGTTTCATTTGATGGATGAAGCAATTTAGAATCAGATGGCTGAAGCCAAGTGTCGAGCATTGTACAGCATTCAGTAGGGAAGCCACTTAACCAAATGCCTCTGACAACAGCCTCTGATCTGGCCTAAGGCTGATGCTATTGGTCAAGGGAACTAGACCCACCTACCCAGGAAAAATTCTTCCCTGATGGAGGAATGTCAACCAGTGGCCAAATAACCCCATCTCCTTACTTGTTCTGTCCTGAGCACTTGCAGGTGCTGCAAGCCCAGCCCAGCCTATCTCATCCATCTATCCAATTATCCAACCATCCACCCATCTACCCATTCTTCCATTCATCCACCTATCCATCAATCCATCTATCTACTCATCCATCCATCCATGCATCTATCCATTCATCTACCCATTCATCCACCTATCCATCCATCCATCCATCCATCCATCCATCCGTCCGTCCGTCCATCCATCCATCCATTCACTCATCTATCCAGTTACTTATTCATCTCCTTATACATCCAGCCACCTATCTTTTCATCCATGCCATCTATCTACTTATCATTTGTCCATCAACCACCATACCTACCCATCCACCCATCTATCCACCCACCCATCATCACATCCATTCATTCATCCATCCATCTTCTCGTTCTTTCATTCATTCATTCAATAAGCCTCTATCAAAGTCAACAGAGGGCCAGGTCCTGTGGTAGCCTATAGTAAAATAGGAAGACAAATACAGACCTTGCCCTCAAGAGATTTGAAATGCTTACAAAAACGACAAACTTCCAAAGGACCAAAACAAATAATTAAGGAAGGTTGTTAAAAGAAAAAACGTAGGAAAGGGTAGGAAAATAGCAAAACTAGGAGTCTGGTTGGCACACAGAAAAGCACACTATAGCATCTTATCCTCATAATTGCTAAGGGCAACTCTGGATCTGCCTCTGAGCCAGTTCCTGGCACCCAAGGCAAACATGACAACATAAGAGTCACAGGATATTCAGCTGTGGCAGACATCACGCCACAGCTATTCCTGCTTCCTCGTAACACAGTAGTGCTGTATGTGCCCAGGGCACATTCAGAAATGTCTGGAGACATTTTCAGTTGACACAACTGATGGAAAGGATGCTGCTGGCACCTAGTGAGTCAAAGCCAGGAAAGCTGCTAAATATCCAATAATGCATAGGACAGCCCCCACAATGAAGGATCATCCAAGCCAAAATGTCAATAGTGCTGAAGCTGGGAAACCCATTCTGAGAAAACCCTGATTTTGTTTGGAGCAGCATTGTGCCAGACCCCAAGAAAAGAGTATCGTTGGTCTAAGCCAATCTTGGCTTTCCCATTTCTTTCCACTAGATACTTGATCTCAGCTTTGCTTGAACCAGGGAAGTCTGCTGGGAGGTTTCTGGGGAAAATTTGCTTTTTGAGAAAAGAAACAAGTACTTCAAAGAATATCCCTTCCAGGTTCCCGCCCTTGAGGGTAGACGTGAAACCTCATACTGTACCAGCCACTTTGGGTCTGTAAAGCCAACATGGTGAGCAGGGAGAGAGGAAGGAGGAAGAGCATGGATCTGACTGACATTGTTGACCACTGTCGTAAGGTTGTTTCTTTAAACCTCCTTTAGTTCATTCAACCAACAAATGTTTATTGAGCATCTAGTCTCTGACAGCCACAATATGTGAGACATGTGAGGCCAAACAAATCACTGATAGTCCCCAACCTCATGGAGTTCATAGTTGAGCGTGGGACAGACACCACCACACACACTGATGCTATCCAATCCGAGTCATGATGAGAACTGTAAAGGAGAAGTCAGTGTACCACCAGCGCATTGCAAGTCAAGGGTAGGGTCAAGTTCACTCAGCATCACCACACCACAGATCAGCCCCTTAAAGACTGTCCTACCAGCGTTCAAATACATGAGACAGCAACTGAGATTTAGGCATGCTTACTCTGTGCCAGGTACTATTCTGAGCACACATGTATTAATTCATGTGATCCTAACCACAACCTTGCCTGCCAATGCCTCTCCTGAGGCTCTGCTCTGTACCACATCCCATACCCTGCAACCTACCTCTGCAATCACAACCTTAGGGACTTTGGTATTATCTTTTATCTGAAAGTGCATTGTTCCTAGAGCTTCCCCAAATACTTCCCTAGTTCATTTTATAGGTGAAACATGAGGGCTCAGAGAGGGGTAGGCCACACAGCTTTAAAGGGAGGGTGTAGATCCAGGATGCTGACCCAGATTTATTTTCTCTAAAAAGCAAGTTCCTTTAGTCACTATCACTTATGTGTGTGCGCACATGCGCACTCATGCACACACACACACACACACACCAACAAATGCCTAACTGTCCCAGGCCACCAATGTTCTTTTGTGGATGTGTGCTACAAATCTGGCCAGAGGAGCTCTCCTTTCTCTGCCCAGCCAGATCTGTAGCTTAGTCAAGAGGGTCAGAGAGGGTTAGGGTTTCTTTTTAACAATCCTGAGCTTTAGTTTTCTCTTCTATTCTTGGAGATAACAATGATGTTGTTTTTCTGGAACAAGTGCTATAAGAATTAAATTAAATAACAGGCATGGAACACCCATCCATCCAAACATCTACCCATCCAAACATTCAACAAATGTGTGCTGCATACTTGCTTTGTGATGAGCGCGGTGTACAGGTTGGGATGAAGGGGCATGAGGACACCCTACAAAGTACATAGACCTGG